ACTGTCTGGTTTTGTAAGTTCAGCAGTCACTTTCTTGTGGGTCCTGCATGTCCATGTTTATACAGCAACAAACAGTCCAGGCAGTTTCTTGCCCAAATGGCTAATCTTGCCATGTTGAAAGCAAACTCCATAACGAGTTTCTTCGATGCCCATCCTCCTTTCTGACGTAATTGGTGTGCCTGGAGCAGTTGTGTCTTACTGCCAAGAAAAACCCTAAACTATTTAAATGCCATATTTCTGTAGGTCTTTGAAAGGTTTGAAGAATACCTATCCATCTCAAATACATAAGTTCTAACTATCATAGGTGATTATAAAACCTGTATTTAATTATGCATATCATTTTAAAAGATCTGTATTAAACACAATACCTAGACAAGAGAAGACATACATATCACAAAATTGACCTTAAAGTTGTATCAATAAATGAAAATTTATACCAATGCAAACTATTCATTCCTATATGGTTTGTTCAAGCAAGACCCCCTGAAGCTTGGTCAGGTTTCTATGTTTTATCATGATCCCAATGGTATGAACATCTCTAAACTGCTTCCTGCTTATTTGGGGCAATGTTCATACCATTGGGATCATGATAAAACATAAAAACCTGACCAAGTCCTTGTTTTTGTAGTCTTAAGACTGTATCATCTCAGCTTCAGGGGGTCTTGCTTGATCAAACCATGTTAGTCTGGAAGGAATCAACAGCTTTTGGTTTTCTGTGGAAATACAAGCAAAACCTTTATTTCTAAGTAGCCTGTCCTTAAACTTAAATTTTGAAGTTAGAGCATTTTTAAAATGTATAAGTTGGATTAATTTAGCAGCTTTTATAATCAAATGTATTTTAGCAGCAGTAATTCTTTCCTCGGCAATCAAACAATTTAAAGACAACAATATGGCATATAGTATCCAGACTCTCTGTGTATTTTCCATCTTTATGTGGCTTTTTTTTTTTTACTTTACTTTTACTTTCTTTTGTTTCTTTTTTCCCTGAGACAGGGTTTCTCTGTGGAAATCTGCTTCCTTCTCTCACAAGCCTACATATATTTTTAAATGCAGTTTAAACCTTTCGAGGTTTCTCTTTATCTGGATCTGTCTTTATCATCTTGAGAGTGCCGAGTCCAACACCCAAGAGCACCAAGATGGCTCGAGCATATGGAAGTTGCTCCGATGTCTCTCAGCGGCCCGACAGGGCAGGCTGTGGTAGCAGGTTTCCCTCTTTCTCTGGAACCTTGGAGACATGGGGTCATGTTTATCTTATTGATTGTTGAATAAAATACTTTTAGGCCAATGGCAAGCAAGGACTAGGAGTCAAAGAGGATTCTGGGAAATGTAGTAGAGAAGTGATGATCCAGGCAGGAAGTGACATGGCAAGGAGACTCATATCTAAGCGAGGAAACAGGAAGTATCCCCCTCCCCCTCCGCCCCGGCTCCAGCGGCACAATGTAATCCACTGGCAAGGAGGGACGCCAATAAGGCATCTGATAGATAAGTCTTATAAAATATATAGATTTATGATAATTAAGATTGAGCTAGCAGATGAGAAGTCCTAGTCATTGGCCAAGCAGCTTTGAACCTAATACAAGTTTCTGTGGCTGGGTAAAGCTCACACATGGCGGTGGGCCTCAGGCGGCTTTTGGCGGAAAGACTTAATGTAACATAATTCTTTTAGTTTTATTTAAAACAAATACATAGTTTATAAAATTTTTATTGAAATGCTGAGGATAATACCTAAGTCTTCATGCATGTTTTGACTATTTAATAATACAGCAGTTAATATGACTTAGCAAATACGATTTATGTTCTCCCCAAAATTTGAACATTCTGTAATTTTTCCCCAAATATGTTTCAGAGAAAAATTTGCATAGATATATTTGCTGGTTGGTATGCAAATTTTTATTTCCACTTTGAATTGGTCTATGATCTTTTCACTTTTGTCTACCATTAGTATTTTCCATCTATATTCAAAGCCATTGGAATATAACTAGAACACACCATAAAGTCAAGATCTGTTGCAAATTAAATTTCACTTAATATTGGTAATATCAGCATAAAAATAGGGGTGACTCAGGAATTGGAGTTACTCCTTAACTCTTAGTGAATATGCTGTATCTATCTTTCTGGTTTAGTTTTCAATTTTCTGATCTACTAATTTTAATAAGTTTATTCATTTACAAGAGCTGCTGTAAGAAATTACCAGAGCATCGTGGATTAAAACCATTCCTGAGTCTGAAAGCCAGAATCAGGAGTTGGCAGGATTTGTTGCTTCTTGATTTTCTGTCAGACAACCTATTATCTAACTTCTGGCAGCTGCAGGCCATCTAGGGAAGCCTCCACCTCCATCTTCATCTGATTTGCTCCACATTTCTTGCTAAAAGCCACAAGATCATGCAACAATATACAGCTATCATATTGTTATGCCCAGTTTGTGGGACACCAAAAAGTCCACCACCAAAGAGACAATTCATCAAATGGAAAAACAAAAGTTTCATTTATTGGCAAGCTACAGCCTGGATTCTGCTGGCTCAGGAGCAAATGGAATACAGCTTACAGGTGAGGGGACTTTTTAAGGGGAGAGAGATTGAGAGAGAGAAAGAGAGAGAGAGAGAGAGGAAGAGAGGAAGAGGGAGAGAATGAAGAAGAGTAAAGGAACATGTAGAGGAGCAATTGTGTGTGAGTCAATTCCTTTTATCTCAGATTTTGGTTCCTTTTATTATTTGTAGTTTTTTTTTTTGAACCCTGAGCAAAAACTAAAAACCAGACTTTTAAAGTTTTCAATAATTTCTCATGAATACATGACATATTTCATTTGTTTTACAACCTTTCCCCTTCAGATCCTTAACTGCATACTCCAAATTTGGCATACTCCAAATCAGGTCATACTGACTGAGAATTAACATTAGGGTGTGCCTATTGATGACCACAATCAAGCTTACTATTCTATGTTTCATTATAAATTATTTTAAACGGATTTTTCATATATGAATAAAAATCTTGAAATTGAATGCATCAATATGTAACAACAACTCTTTCTGACAGCTGCCTGGGTTCTGCGGCTGCTTTATGGCCACCAAATAACACATGGTGTCTTATAGTAGTAACACAGTGTCTTACAATGCTGCTAGCCAATGACTAGGATTTCTTATTTACTAGCTCAGTCTTAACTATCAACCATAACTACTAATCTATATATTTTTATAAGGACTTATATTACTGATGATACTGGCCTTATGTGTCCTCTCTCTCTGGGATCACATGATGACTCTCCCTTTCCTACATTTCCCAGAATCCTCCATCTCTCCTAGGCCCACTGAACTTGCTTTCCTATTGGCTAACAGTGCTTTGTTTATCAACCAATAAGACAAACACATACACAGAAGGACCTCCCCCATCATCAATGTGCAACAAAAAAATTTATGTTAGAGCCCATTTCCCTCTCAATGGTACTCAAGTCACTAATGAAATTTATTTTTCTAATTAGCATCTTTATGGTCACACATTCAATATTGTTCCAACATTTTTCAGTAGCATTTTATTAGTTGATCACCACATAGCATCATTTGTTGAAAAAATTAATTTAGGTATTAACATAATCAAAACAACCACTCCAGAAATATTAACCTCTTGAACAATAGAAATTTTTCCATTATTTTTCATAAATCAATGATATCAGTAATCTAAAAACACAGAAACACTTATTTCTATATCATTTCTACACTAAATAAACATTTATTTATGTACAGAGATAAATTGTCATCCAATTCTCATCATAACTAGTGGCAAACACTTGACATCTATTTATTTTATTATTGATTTCCTGATTGCTGGATATGGAATTTACAACTCTTTTTAATTTGTTCAAGCAACACATCCTTGAGAATAATAAATATATCCATATCAAATGTGAACCAGTGATGAGGTAATCTAATATTTTTACATTTAAATATTTTACATTTATTTATTCAATGTTATGGGAACAAGCAGTACATGTCATGCACAGTGAATGTATGGAGATCAGAGGACAACTTGCAGAACTTTGTTCTCTCCTTCCAATGTGTGGATTCCAAGGATCAAACTCAGGTCATCAGACTTGGGGGCAAGCACCTTTACCTACTGAACTAACTTCTCCTGGACCCAAATATCAGATGGAAATAATTTTTTAAAGTATGAAACATTTAATAACAATGCAGTCTTAAAATCAAATCCATAGGGGAAGGACAGATTATATTTTGGGGGGACTCTGCAAATGACACTAATTTCTTGGGCTTCATTTTTTTTTAGTTTTGTTTCCAAGAGTGCAAAGTTAATATACTCAGTATAGAATTAGGAGAACTGACTCAGATCTAAGCAGCCATCTAACTGAAGGAAGGTGAATGAACTAACTTATTGTTCAGTTTGCTATATCAACTACTTTAAATGCTTGTAAGCAGCATTGTCAGACCACTTTATGTGTGAACTTCATACACTATCTTCAGTTGTTAGACCAAAGCAATCCAAAATTAATTACTCTAAACAATTTTCCTCCAAAAATTTGCACAAATCTTTTAGCTCTTTTGCCCACAATGAGTAAAACTTGCTAAGATTTCTAATGTATTCTTAAGTTAAGAACTCTGACTTGCTTTGGACATTAATACACAGGTATTGGTTCATGTGAGTGCATTTATTGTCATCAGAGAAGGACCTCTAGTGGGAAATTCGGTTACCTGATAGAAGTACACATTGTCAGGTATTTTTTTTTATTGTTTTCATAGAGAGACTCTGAAAAATGTTCCTATGGCTGCATCACCTGTTACATCACCTGTTACCTGTACTTGAGCATAAATAGTGAAAACTCAAGTGATACTACGTAGCATCAAAGGCTTCTCCAATTTAACAGAACGAATTTGATATATTATTTAGTAATGCAATTAATTTAAAGACAATAAATATGAGAGTATCAGTGTGAGTTTATGGCTCATGAAGCAGATTCATTTTCTTGAAAATATATGTGTATATATACTTAAAAATGGAATTGGTTCAGCTATACATTAAAATCAAATAACACAGTGCCTCTGGCTCTCTGAACTTTAGTCATCTTGCCTTCTGTGAAAAGATAATTGAATTTCTTATCTAAATATTGGCTATTCCTAGCCAACTAATTGAAAGTCAAATTTTTTTCTGGATAAACTTTTAAATTATCAGGTTGGATCCTAGGCTAATGATTCAAAGAAACACTATAAATTATCTATTAAGACAATATTCAGATGATCTTGATTACTTTCACACTGGGAATGTGAAAATCTATACTGTAAAATCAAGAAATAGATGGCCAACTAGTATTTAAATCAAAATTGTCTACTTCCTGACAAAGAGCTGAGTTTCACTAGGTTCGTGCTTTGTGTCACAGGATAGTTAACTTTGAGTAATTTATACCCTGAAATTGTTATTTAGCAATCTTAAATAAGATGATTTGGATTTTATAACTTTCAATGGGCATTTAAACTTCCAGATGGGGAAATAGATGAAGACCCCAAAATAAGAATAAGCAAAGGCTGATATCCAGAGTTTGTTTCATGCTGACAGTCAGCAAGTGTTACCTGACAAAGATCCAAATCTTTCAGGGACTATAAAAATTTAGAATTAAAAGAGGGACAGGCAGGCTGGGCATGATGGTACTTGCTCTTACTCTCAGCACCAGGAGACCAGAGGTATGCAGATCTTTGCAATTTCGAGGCTATTCTGTTCTACACAGCAAACTCCATGCTGTCAACAAGGTCTATGTATGGATACCATGTCTCAAGACAATGACAGCAACAGCAAAACAATAAGAGTTAAGGAACAGGCTCAGGACAGTGTTCAGTGGGTAAAGTACTTGCTACATAAGTACCAGTTCTGAATTCCAGCATCCACAAGAAACCTGTGTGGACTTAGATGTGTGTAATATCAAGACAGAGACAGGAAGATCTTCAGAACTTCCTGGCCAGCTATTCTTGCCTAACTAGCCATCTCCATGTTCAGTGGGAGACCATGTTTCCAAATGCAAGGTAGAGAGAATCAGAATGAGATAGAAAGTGTGAGGACTGGCTAGCTAGAAGCCGGAACCCAGTATAACTGATTATTGGGAAGCATGTTTCACTTCTTTCATTGGTTTTAAACTACAAGCAAGGTACAGATAGAGGGAACTGGTAACTATTAATAAGGCTCTGCTGATTTTGAAAATGATTGGCTAGAAGTTATAGCTTAACTTCTAGGTCTGCTTCCCACGGACGATGTAGGCCGGAGTTCTAATTTTATTTGCAATTTGGCCATTGTCCATTTCTATATTCAGAGCCTGGCTAAAACATGTTTATGCTGATAATAAGAAGCAATGTGGCTCATTGTGTTCTATCCAGTTGTATTTATTTAAATTTATGAATAAAATCTATGTATCTATGAAAATATAATTTCAAAATGGTATTGGTCTTTTGCAAAAGTCCTGTGATGGTTTTGACATCAAAAAGTGTGATTATTCTCATGATTTACATTCTCTGAAGGAACACTGACATTGATAAATATGAGCTTTTACAAAACTGCTGCAACATTGTTCTCAATGACAGTCCATCCAGTTTCTACCTGAAAGATTTTAAATAAAATTTGTCATTAAAAATGTATCCTTCAAACTTATTATACTATGCTTGGATGTGACTTCGGTGAATGTCTCAAAATTCTCTTGTATTAGAAGCTTGATTTCCAAGTTTTAAAAGGTTAAAAAGTGAAGGTGAATTTAAGAAGTTTGCTTATTGAGAGGTCTCTAAGTAATTGAGGTCCTGCTCTTGAAAGGAGTTAATGAACTTTTCATGGGACTCTAACCCTTTATTGTGGCAGGTTTGTTTCAAGACTCCACTCCCTGCTTCTTTCTTGCTTCCTGTCTTTCTTCTCCCATATTATCTCTCCCTTTTGTACACATCCTACCATGATGTCATCCAACATGATGTGACAGTCAGGAGCCCTTACCAGAGTTAACAATATGATGCATGAACTTTGAACCTCTAAAACTTTGAGATGAATACATCTCTTTCCTTTACAGATGACCAGCCTCACATTTTGTTACAGCAACAGAAAGCAGATTGTGTACATCTACGCTTAATAATAGTTTAGAAGCATAAGCCCAGAGCACAATGTAATTTCTTCAAAAGTTTCCATTTTTAGGTTGTAGTCTTTGGTCCATTCGGTGTGCATTTCTGTTCAAGGTGATAGGCATGCTTTATTATTCCACATGTGGAAACAGTTTTCCTACCAACATTTGTTGAAGATGTTACATTTTCACTAGCATATATTTGGCATTTTTATTAAACTATAAGGTAACTGCAATTGCACATAATTAAATCTGGCTTTTCTACTCCACTAATCTATGTGTCTTTTTTTTTGTTGTCAGTACCATGCCTTTATCAGCATGTCTCTGCAAATTGAGGTAGATTACTCTTTTTGGTCAGGATTGCCTTGGCTATCTGGGGTCTTTCATGCTTCCACATGGTTGTGATATCTTCATCAAACCCCTCCTATCAAGGGTCAGGGGTCTGTGTGCAAGAGGAACTGGAAAGATTGTGAGAGCCAGAGTGGGTAGATGATGCCAAGGAGACAATGTCTTCCAGATCCAACAGGATTGATACACATAGGAACTCACAAAGACTGTGGTAGCAGTCACAACACATTCACGGGTTCAAAGCAGATGGGATTTCAGCATTGATGGGCAGATTTAGATACAGGCCACTACTCCCTAACAAGAAGCAATTTGCAAATTGATGCTCACAGGTTAAGGGAAAACTATTCCTGTTTAAGGGAGCAGCATTTGGTATATCAACTACATTCCAGGTCAGGATACATGCCCAGGGGTAGTTCATAATACAAAGCTTGTTTATCTCTTGTTTTATTATGTTTAGTGTGACACCTTTTCTATTATTGGTCTATTGCTTGTTTGCATGTTTGTTTTAGTTACTTACTTTGTTTTTTGTTTGTTTTGAAATACAGAGAAAAAGGAAGAGAGCACAAATTAGAATGCATAGTGAGGTAGAAAAGATCTGGGAGTTGTAAAAGAAGAGAAAAAAACACATTTAAATTACATTGCATATGAAAAAAATACAAAAAATGTGGACAGAAATAGTTTTCACAATAAAAACAGCCTTAAGGAATTTGTGCCCCAAACAAGCCCAACAATGAATACTGGAAAAAATACTTCAGTCTGAAGAGGCTAAGTGAAAAAAACGAAGTAGAACAGTGACTATTTGAAGTATGGTTAAGACAACAAAAACAGAAAAACAACAAATTTCAGCAGCTAATCTACATCTTTTAATGTAATTCTGAATATTAATGGCTTAATTCTCCAATCAAAAGACATAGGCTACTTAGTTGTATTAGAAAGCAGGAGACATCTTTTGGTTGTCTACAAAAAAGATACCACATCTCCAAAGATAGGTAGGTAACTTCAACATTCAACATTCACAAACAGGTCATCCTAGAGAAGAAGAAAAAGAAGAGGAGGAGGAGGAGGAGGAGGAAGAGGAAGAGGAAGAGGAGCAGGAGGTGGGGAAAGGAGGAGGAGGGAGGGGTAGGGTGATGAGGAAGAAGAGGAAGAAGAAGAGAATGGAAGGAAGGAAGGGGAAGAAAACACCAAAAGGAATTAACCTATATCTGCACAATATTCCTCAAAAATTAGCAATATGAACTCTGTAGTTCATGGAAATATCTCTGAAATAAATCATATTTTTTTCCACAAAACAGTACTCAATAAGTTTAGATTAATTAAAATAACTGCATGTGTTCTACTTGACCACAATAGAATAAAACTTGAGATAAATAGAAAAGAAATTCCCCCAAATGAATACATTTAGGGAGATTAAGCAATATGCTACTGAGTGATGCAAAGGTCACTGAAGAAATTAAGTTGGAAACAATAAAAAATCCTAAATAGAATAAAACTTGAGATAAATAGAAAAGAAATTCCCCCAAACGAATACATTTAGGGAGATTAAGCAATATGCTACTGAATGATGCAAAGGTCACTGAAGAAATTAAGTTGGAAACAATAAAAAATCCTAAGCTAAATAAAAAAACATATCAAATGTATCAAAACACCTGGGATATAATGAAAGCAGTTTTGTTTTTGCTTTTTTTAAGTTTTTCTTTTATTCTCTTATACAATAAATGTCAACTGCAGTTTGCCCTCCCTCTACTTCTTTAAATCCCCTGCCCTATGCCCCAGATCTACTTCTCCATTCCCCTTCAGAAAAGAGCAAGCCTCCCAGTGATATCAACCTAAGACAGCATAATAAGTTACAATAAGACTAGGAACAAACCCTCATAAGAAGGCTGGACAGGCAACCCAGTGGCAGAATAACGGTGCCACGAGCAGGAAAAAAGAGGCAGAGATACTCCATATTCCAATGTTAGGATTCCCACAAGAACACCAAGCTAACAATCATAACATATATGCAGAGTACATAGCACAGACCCATGATTGCCACTTCGGTCTCTGTGTGACCCTATGAGCTCTGCTTAGTTGATTCTATCAGATATATTCTCATGGTGTCCTCAATCCAGAGGGCTCATATAATTCTTCTTCCACCTCTTCTGTGGTGTTCCCCCAAGATCCAAAGGGAGGGGCCTGATGGAGATCTCCAATGTGCTCTCTCTCTCTCTCTCTCTCTCTCTCTCTCTCTCTCTCTCTCTCTCTCACACACACACACACTGTTTGGCTATGGATTTATGCATATGCTCCCATCAGCAACCAGAAGAAGCCTCTCTGAAGATGAATAGGCTAGACAAAAAAATCTATGGCAATGGTAAAATATCAATAGAAATCATTTTATTGATTCATTTGTTTCTGTCCTAGGTCTCTGGGCTATTCAACCTGACATTCCTGATCATCAAGGCAGTGTTGGACATAGACTCTCTCAAGTGTCAAGGGCCTAAAATTAGACCAGTCATTGTTGGCAACTCCCACATGTACTGCACTTTCATTACCCCAGGACATTTTTCAGGCAGTATAAATGGTAGGTTGAAGGTTTTATTGCTGGTTTAGTGTTCCAGTCCCACCTCTGGAAGTTGTCTAGTTTTATTGAAGATGCCCTGTTCATCTCCACATCCTCTGTTGCTAGGAATCCTCTCTCAGGTCACCCTCATAGAATATTGGAAATTTCTACCACACATGATTTCCACATCAACTCCAAAATGCCCTTGAAATTCCAATCATCTCTAATCATACCTCTCCCTAAACTACCATCCTAGTGTTTCTAATGCTGTTAAAAGACACCATGACCACAGCAACTCTTATAAAGGAAAACATTTAATTGGGTATGTTTACTTCATTATCATCATGGAGGGAAGTAAGGCTGCATTCAGGTAGACATGGTGTTGGTGAATGAGCTGAGCGAACTTTCATCTTGATCCAAAGGCAACAAGAGGTAAAATTAACTAGGCATAGCTTGAACATAGGAGTCCTCAAAGTCTACCCCATAGTGACACATTTTTTCCAACAAGGCCATGCTTCCTAATAGTGCCACTCTCCATGAGCCTATGGGACCAATTACATTCAAACTACCACACTCCCCATCATCTGTTCCCATTCCTACTTTCCCTCAGTCTACCCAAAATCTTTTCTCTTTGCCCTTCCCAGGGAGATACACATGTTCTCCTTAGAATATTCCTTATTACTTATTCTTTCTTTGACTGTCGATTGTATCATGATTATTATCTACTTTACAGCTAATATCCACTTAGAAGTGAGTGCATACCATGTTTGTGTTCCTGGATATGGGTTATCTCACTCAGGATGACTTTTTTTCTAGATGAATCCATTTGCCTGAAATTTTCATGGTATCCTTTTTTCTAATAGTATAATAATGCTCCATTGTGTGAATGTACCATGATTTTTCATTCTTTCAATTGAGGGCCATCTAGGTTGTTTCAAGTTTCTGGCTGTTATGAATAAAGCCTCTATATGCATAGTTGAATGTAGTTGATCAAGTGTATTTGTGGCAGGATGGAGTGTATATGCCCAGGAGTTGTATAGCTGGGTCTTGCAGTAGATCAACTCTCAGTTTTCTGCAGAAACACCATTTTTATTTTCATAGTGGTTGTACAAGTTTGTACTCCCATCAGCAATATAGTATTACTCCCATCAGCAATATAGTATAGGTGTGTTCCCCTTGCTAAACATCCTTGCCAGCATGAACTGTCACTTGTATTATTGGCAGGTGTAAGATAGAATCTCAAAACATTTTTGATATTTATTTCCCTAATGACTATGTTTATTTCCATGTTTATCAGCCATTTGAGATTGTTCTACTGAAAATTCTCTATTTAAACCTGTACCCCATTTTATATTGGATTATTTAGTTTGTTGATGTCTTCTCTCATGAGTTCTTTATATATTTTGAAAATTAGTTTTCTAGCAGATGTAGAGTAGATGAAAAAATTTCCCATTCTGTAGACGTCCATTTGCCTTACAGAAGCTTTTCAGTTTAATGAGGTCCTATTTATTAATCATTAATCTTTGTGCCTATGCTATCGGTGTTCTGTTCAAGAAGTTGTCTCTTGTGTGAATTCATTCAAGTATATTACTCACTTCTCTTCTGCTAGTTACACTATAACTGGATTTACATTGAGGTCTTTGATTCACTTGGACTTGAGTTTTGTGCAGGGTGATAAATATGGTTGTATTTGCATTCTTCTACATGGAAATATCCAGTTAGACCAGGACAATTTGTTCAAGATTCTTTCTTTTTTCCATTGTGTCGAACATTCCTCTTAGCACTGCTTTCAAAGTGTCCCATAATTTTGGATATGTTGTATCCACATTATCATTGAATTCTAGGACACCTTTATTTTCTTTTTTTCTTTCTTCCTTGACCCAGGAATTATGCAATTGGGTGTTATTTATAATTTCCATGAGTTTGTAGGATTTCTGCAATTCATGTTGTTGTTGAATTCTACCTTAAAAGCATGGTGGTCTGATAAGATTCAGGGGGTTATTTTCATTTTTTGTACCTGTCGAGGTTTGCTATGTTGACAAGCATTCGGTCTATTTTAGAGAAGGTTCCATGTGGTGCTGAGAAGAAGGTATATTATATTGTATTTGGATGGAATGTTCTATAGATGTCTGTTAAGCCCAATTGGGCCATAACTTCTATTAGTTCTTTGGGTCTTTGTTAAGTTTCTGTCTCGTGTTTCTGTCCAGTGGTGAGAATGGGGTGTTGAAGTCTCCCAGTATAAGTGTTTGCAGTTTTATGTGTGATTTGAGTTTTAGTAATGTTTCTTTTAGGAACATGGATGCCTTTGCATTTGGGGCATAAATATTCAGAATTGAGACTTCATCCTGGTGGATTTCTCCTGGGATGAGTAGGAAGTGACCTCCTTCATCTCTCTTGATTGATTTTAGTTTAAAGTCCAATTTGTTGGATATTAGGATTGCTACCGTCACTTGTTTCTTGGGTCCATTTGATTTGAAAATCTTTTCCCAAACTTTAATTCTTAGGTACCATCTGTCTTTGAAGTTGAGGTATGCTTCTTGTATGCAGCAGAAGGATGGATTCTGTCTTCTTATCATTCTGCTAACCTGTCATTTTATGGGCTGGTTAAGACCATTAATATTGAGGGATATTAATGACCATTGATTGTTCATTCTTGTTTGTTTTGGATTTGGTGGTGGTGGTGAAATTGTATGTGGGTTTCCATCCCTTTTTTCTTTTGCCTGTTGCTAAAGTGGAATTATCTATTGCCTATATTTTTCTGGTTATAGTTAACTTCCTTGGGTTGCAGTTTCCCTTCCAGAACATTCTGTAGGGCTGGATTGGTGGATATGTATTGTTTGAATCTGGTTTTGTCATGAAATATCTTGTTTTCTCCATGTATATTGATTGAAAGCTTTGCTGGGTATGGTAGTCTGGGCTGGCATCCGTGGTCTCTTAGTGTAGGTAGAACATCTATCTATTCAGGACCTTCTGGCTTTCAGAGTTTCCATGGAAAAGTTCAGGTGTAATTCTGATAGGTTTGCCTTTATATGTTACTTGAACTTTTTCCTTTGCTGCTCTTAATATTTTCTCTTTATTCTGTATGTTTGGGGTTTTGCTTATTATGTGGCAAGGAGACCTTTTTTTGGTCCAGTCTATTTGGTGTTCTGTAGCATTCTTGTATTTTCATTGTCATGTCTTTCTTTAGGTTGGGAAAGTTTTCCTCGATGGTTTTGTTGAATATGTTTTCTGCACCTTTGAGTTGGATTTCTTCACCTCCTTCTATACTATTATCCTTAAGTTTGGTGTTTTCTTGGTATCCCATATTTCCTGGCTATTTTGATTTGGGATTTGTTGGACTTAAGATTTTCTTTGGTTGATGAGTCTGTTTCTCCTAGTGTATCTTCAACTCCTGAGATTTTCGCTTGCATCTGTAGTTCCTGATTGTTTACCCAGATTTTTTATTCCCAGCATTCCCTCGGATTGTGCTTTCTTTGTTGCCTCTATTTCAGTTGTTAGGTCTTGACTGTTTCCTTGAAAGAATTGTTGATACCTTGTATTTTTTGGTTTGTTTTTCCTTCCATTTCTTTAAGGGATTTTCTCATATCCTCTTTGAGGCCCTCTATCATTTTCCTAAAGATGTTTTTAAGGTCATTCTCTTCTGCTTCATCTGCATTGTGATGTTCAGATCTTGCTGGTATAAGGTCCCTAGTCTCCAGTAGTGTCATATTGGTTTTTCTGTTGTTGAATGTACTTTTATATTGTCTTTTTCCCATCCTTTCTTCCAGTGGGTGTAGCAGGAGTCTCTTCCTCTCCTCGTGGATAGGCGACCAAGGTTCCCTTCTTGTAGATATAAACATTTCCAATACTGTGATGTCTGTCCTCTTCTCTTGGATGGAGGCAAGTCTGGTGCTAGGGCCTTTGCAGTCTCTGGGTGTGTTGGATTCTGCTGGGTTCGGGTCTTGTGAGCAGTCCCCCAGCCCCAGGTGTCATCGAGCAGGGCAGAGGAACCCATATTGGAAACAGCCCCTGGCCTACCTGGTCCAGTAGATGGAGGCAGGACTGTTACCAGGTTGGATTTTTGTGAGCACTCCCCTGGCCTCAGGTGTCCCTGAGCAGGGCAGCCTGCTTCTAGAAGTTACAGGTTATGAAACAAAAATCCATGTGCCAGGAGTGAGGGCTTTCACTATGGGTCAGAGAGGCTCCTAAAACATTGACTAAAGATTCCATACATTTCCATTACATAGTATAAATATCGAGTTGGCACTTAATTGCAAGCTTTCTCCCTGCTGGATAGCTTATATAGCCCCCAATTTTTTTTGCAGGTTCTTGGGGGGGGGGTTGTAGTTTCTTGCCATCTCTCTTTTTTTATAATATATATTATATATTATATATGTATAATATGTAATATATAATATATATTATAAAGAGATCTATTAGTTTACCATATACTAAGGGGTTTTGGTAATTCAAAAATTACTGCCTTCATGTTAAAGGGGCTGAAAACATGGTAACTGCTCAGTCCATGAGGTTGGATGGATCCCTTAGCCATCTCAACTTGGCACTGAATTCCTAGCCACTGGTGTTTAGTATGTGTAGGAAGGCCTGGGAAGCTGGGATTTCATATTAGCCAAAGAATGGAGCCACAGCAGCAACAGAGTAAAACTCACCAGCAACATGCTAAGCAAGTAAGGCAAAAACAAAGCTTTCTCCTTGGATCTCCCTACAGATGGATAGTTCCAGTTCCTCCCACCCTTATTTTGGGTCTTACAGCTTTGAGTAACCATATCAAACAAAACAAAACAAAATAAAACAAAATTCCGTTACAGGTGTGCCCATCAGGTTAGCCTAGTTGATTCCAGATCCACTCATGCTCACAGCAGAGATTAAGCAAGGCACCTACTCTATTTAAAATTTAAAATAGAGTAAACAAAATAAAATAATCTTTGTGATGTATTAAAAAGATTATAATTTAGGGGAGAAATCATTTCTTTTTGCTCATACTTGAAATTTCGTATATTTTCATTCAGTGTAGCTTAAATCCAATTCTGAGTTGCTTATTTTTAAAGTAATATGATTTATATTTTGTCTTTCAAAGATAAGAGCAAAACTGTTAAAAGTAATTGCTAAAACATCTTGTGGGAAAACATTTTCTAAGGGGTAAAAAACATTATTTTTAGTAAATCACCTCCTACTATCCTTTGTTTTTGCCATTGCCTCAGACCCTTCATAAATATTAATGAAATTGACTAAACTTCCTCCCATTTTTCTTCTTTGTTTTCAGGTTTGTCCTCCCCATCTTCCTTTGTGTCTGAGAGTATCCAAAAAGATATTAAATTCTCCATCAGTAAGAAAATCCAAGCTGAGCTGTTTCTCTAATAATGTCTCTCATCCTGAGGTCAAGAAAGCTTCTAATCCAGTCAAGTGATTTACAGAGGTCCATCTTTTAAGGAATATTTGAGGTATCCTTTTCATTCAATTGTAACACAGAACATAGAACTTCAGAAATGAAGTCAAAGCATGAGGCAAATTATTTTAAATATGAAGTCAGACGAAAAAACAAAAGTTAAGAAAAATCTAAAGTAAACAGTGAGGTACAATTTCATTTCTAGTATTTTATTTTTCTTTTTATGGATTGTTCTGGTTTAGTAAAATGCAAACAGTACTGTAATTATATGATTTTAATTTTAAAGTCCATTTCTTTAGATGAATTTAATGAATTATTACAGGTAACTTTATTAATACTGAGACTAGGTAGTGTTGTCTTTGTTTAATGATAGAACAATTTGACAATTACAAAAGGATATGATTAAAAATAAAAGATGTACCATATTTCAAGGGATTATAGCCATACACATCCATACTTATTAACCTGTAATTTCACATTTCACTGGTAAAACAACAGATCTGATTTACTAAACAAATAAGTGAATAAACCAGGTCTAATCAGATGCCGAACCTAAGGAAAGTCCCTTCAGCAATCCAGATGCACGTTTCCTTTTCTTCAATATGAGAGACAAGCTCTCTTCACAACAAAACCAAAATTCAACCATAGTTTGTGATTTTTGTCTATGAAGTTGAATACAAGACGTTATTGACCCAAACTAAGCTGATCACCCCTTGTTACCTAAATCTGAGGATAAGGGAATAAGTAAGTTAACATAAATATACATGCACACACATATAGGCAGGCAAGTTGAGAGTATGTGGCTATCAAAGGTAGCTTATGATATGCTCGCCATAAGTAAGAGAAGGATTCTTGACCATTTGGAACCAGATGTAAGAGAAGCTGTATTCCATAGCAGCTGTACCTCCTTACATTCTCACTCCCAACCACCTATCCATGAGTCAGAAGCTTCTCCTTAAACTGGCCAACAATCCCTCCTGTCTGCATTTTATTTTGATTTTTTTTCTTTTATTGTGATCACAGTATATTGTAGCATCTCACTGAGATTTGGATTTTCATTACTCTAATAAATAATTACATCTTTTCATGGACTTATTTGCAGGCTTCTTTCTTCTTTAGTGAGATGTTTTATATTATCTGAGGAGATTTTTACCCATTTTTTATATATCATAAAACCACCTCTGAACAGAATTCACAGTCTTTACATAGGATATGATATTATCAACAAAACTCATATACAGTTACACTTTTTGGTCAGAATATTTTAACAAATGTGGTATAGCAGTAAATAAATAATGTGGCCCATCCAAGCATACATTAATCTCCCAGTCATGCAGTGTCAATGCTAATTGTTTTTTTTTTTTTCTGGAAGTTTGCCACCGTCTGTCCAAGTGAGAATATGTATGCCCTTTAGCCTAGAAGTATCATTTCTTAAATAGTCAGAGATATATTTAAAGAACTATATATTTAAATGCAGAGCTATGCCTCCAAATATTGATGCAAATGTTACAGATGGAAATTACATAAAAATAAAAATTATGGGATTAAGTAAGGTAATTATGGTGTAAGATCACAAGAAACACCATGGAATTATTGGACATCATGTATCAAAATTGGATTAATTAACTTAGAATTGAGGTTTCTAGTTGGTTTTCTTACACTATTTGATAGCACTTAGCAAAATTACAAATGTGGTTTAATTCTTAAAAGTAAAATTTAGATGTAAATCTATTCATTATGTAAATATTTACAGTCAATTCCTTGCCAGGAGCTGTGTCAGGCAATAGCAACCCAGAAACAGAGGATGATCCCACACAAAAAGAACTGTAGAAATATGTCAAACCTGGTGGACAGAAAGGACAGTCAAATTTTAAGAAATATGTGTACGTATATGGTGTTCTGCCTGCATGTATCCCTGCAGGCCAGAAGAGGGCACCAGATCTCATTATGGATGGTTGTGAGCCATGATGAGATTGCTGGGAATTGAACTCAAGGCCTCTTGAAGACAAGCTAGTGTTCTTAACCACTGAGCCATTGGGCTAGGGGAAGGGGAGAGAAAGTGGGAGGAGGTGAGTGAGGGCTGGAGGTGTGGTGGGAGAGAGAACTGTGGATGGAATGTAAAATGCAATAAAAAAGGAAAAAAGAAATCACACCCCCACTGCAAAAATTTAAGGGCTAGAGAGAATGAAATGGCAAAATGGGACTATAAAAGTACCAACAAATCAATTTACCTCTTTCCTTTACAGGTTCACTTAGAAAGATCAGCAACAGGCAAATTACAGCAGAGTGGTTAAATATGTACAGAAGCAGCTGGATCAGAAACTCAGAAGGGACAGACTTCAAACCCTAACTATGTCAAATGGGATAAATTGTGACCTCAAATTACAAAACAGCCATTTAAATTTCTATGTGAACCAATAAACTATTTTAACTAAGACAGCATAATGCATTCACATAGTTAATGTAAAATAGTAAAATTTTAATTATTACTATTTAAGTGAATTAAAAGGGCAATATATATCCAAGTAGGCCAACAGAAATCATAAAAGGTTATGAACCAGTCATCAGTAGCAATGTCCTGTGTTCATCTGTACTACACTAACTTCTATGCACTATACTTTTTTAATCTTATGTTTTATTTATCCTTTAAAATGTTCATACACATATACAATATATTTTGATCTTATCCATGCCCCTAATATCTTATTCAACTTTCCCCCAGGAGCCACCAACCCATCTCCCTCCTGATTTCATATTTATTATTTCTATTGTTAATAATTAATTATTCTTTAATAATTATCAATATTGCCATACTATTATTTATAGCCCTCTAACTCCAGTTGGCACTGACAATAAGTACTTGAATATGGGGCCAGCCACTGGGATAGTCACATCCACAAAGAAAAGGGACTTTCCCTTCCTCAGCAGCCATCAATGGCCAATAACTTATCCAATAGTGTACGGCTTCCAGTGGCCTTCTCCCCTCCATGCTAGAATTCTACCTAATTTGATATTGTATAGTCCCTGTATAGCCAAAACAAATGCTATGAATTGATGTATGCAACCACCCTGTCAAGTCTGGAAGACAGCATTTCCTTTTCTTCCTCTAGAGCTTACATTATTTCCACTCCTTCTCCTCCATTTTCCATGAACCTTAGATGGGGAAATTTGATATTGGTGATCAATCTACAACTAAGTACTCCCAGCCATTGATTCTCTGCACTGGGAGTTATGAGTCTTTGCCATAGTCATTACTCAATGGAAAAATGAAACTTCTCTGACCAATATTGAAAAAATCACAGATCATTGGGTATAAACATAAATATTAAGAAGGTTGTTTGACAACATGACAATTTATGAAAATATAATTTATAGTCTCCCCTATAGCCTATGGTCTCTGAAGTCCAGGGCTTTTTATAAACTTAACATGCCATATATAAAGCTCCTATGGGTATGCCTCTAATCTAGTCTTGAAGTGGCTCCTTACCCTCAAAATCATGTTGCTACTAATTTCATCAGTGGACACAACTTACCTGACAGCTTCATATTGTAGTGTGAAGGCTCCAGATCTGACAGTACAACTAATGTATGTTTTTCTTCAGCTACCTGCTTGGCACTTTGCAACACTATGAAATCTAGCCAGTTAGGGAAAGTGCACCCTGATAAATTCAAAAAGTAGGATCTTCTCATCTGGTTATCATGGGCATCAAGAGCTATGCAAATAGCCTGTTTGGTTTTGGGAACCTCAGAGCCTTTCTGGCCAGTAAGTATTAAAAATGTATCCCCTGCCTAGCACTGATATCTTCGCTCAACAACCTGTGTCCCCTGGAGTAGTATTGTCTACCCATACAAGATACCTCTGTTCAAACTACCTTTTTATGTTGTACAAGTTCTAATTGTTCTTAATAATAAAAACCCAGAGTCAGATATAGGGGTAAATGCTGAAAGTTCAGAGAGACAAAGGAGCAAGCCACAGCCATGCCTTATTTTGCTAACTTCTCAGCCAAAAGGAGACCTTGCGCCTGTCTCCTCCCTCCTTATATTTCTTTCTCAGCACAGCCATATCACTTCTGGTTTGTCTGTGCAATCCTCTAGACCTCTTTGGTTAACTAGTGGCTACCTCTGCCCTCTGATCTTCAGGCAAGCTTTATTTGTTAGAGTACAAACAAGATACCAACAAATTTTTATATTATAGATTTAATTAGTTTACAAACCAATAGATATCTATGAAACTTCTTTATACAGGCTCTCTTTCAGTTAACCTACTTCCTAGCCTCTTTAAAGTATACATCATTTTTCATTAATTAAAATGAATATTGTGTGTCAATAGTAATGAGACAACGGACACTTCCTTATTGACATTATCAACTTCTGTGTAAGTAGATGGGAAAAAAATTTAGCTGAGAAAAAAAAAGTTTTCTTCAATATTAAAACATTGGCATTCCAGAAGTGTAATGCTTTATTTTCAAATAGTAGAAAAGTTGCAAAGCACTTGGAAAGTATTTGGTAACAAATAGCAATAACTAAGGACCAGTAATGGCATCAAGTAAATGTGGATAATACAAGGGAATGTGTGATTGATCCTAACCCTCAATGATACTGGAAAGAAAAGGCTACGCACTGGCCAATTTGCTAGCATTTTTATTACATTCCAAATCTGTCCATGAAAGATAAGTGCAGCTGCTGCAAGAGAATTAAAGATTAAAGCAGCCTTGGGCTCTATAAAACTTAAGATAAAGCTGTTATTCCTGAGGTCTCTTCTGGAAGCATTTTCCCTGTTCCCCTGTAATTAGCATTGGTGGTTGGTTGATTTTATAGAAATGAGCTACTGAAAGGACATTGTGTTAAGTAAGGGAATCCTTTAAACAGTTTAAGAAGAGAGAAAATAATAAGAAAGGTTAGGAGGGATAATAACAGATTTATATAGCACAATTCAATAGCAAACTGGTCACTTAACAGGGATTTTTACACACTCATTACATTGCCATGTCACTAAACCCTTTTTGACAAAGAGAAGCTAAATATCCCAAGACAAATAATTTTTCAAATAATCTCATTGAAATTACTACATTGTGCAAATGGACACATACTATAAAATGTTTGAACTACTTCCCATATTATCTCTACTTGGCTTTATTTTTATTTCACTTGCTTAAGTAGTAAATGCCATGACAAACATTTTCAAATGTCTACCTCCAGCAGTTCTGGACTCCTACTCTCTAGCTCTATAATTAAGGAGAAAAAGAAAACCTGTTCTGTTCCCATTAGTTGATAGCCCTTGCAGTTAATTTAGAAGATTGTAGCCAATGTTTTGTACATCAGCAAAGGACATAGCTGTCTTTTTCTTGATAATTAAACTCGATAAACTTGTCTATGTACTTCTCTAAAGACTTTTCTCCTTTTTTCATTTTTTTCGAGACAGGGTTTCTCTGTGTAGCTTTGGAGCCTATCCTGGCACTCACTCTGGAGACCAGGCTGGCCTCGAACTCACAGAGATCTGCCTGCCTCTGACTCCCGAGTGCTGGGATTAAACGCATGCGCCACCAGCGCCCGACAAAACTTTTCTCCTTTTAAGTTTCCTAGAGTTTAGTTTATGCAAATCAAGTCAGATATGTAAAGATATTTAGTTTCTAGACTGACGTGATCCTGGAACACAGAACGAGGTTAGCATGTGTTCTTTGCATCTGAAATAGCATCACCTGCATTATTAATTTTAAGCAAATACAAAAGAAAGAAAAGAGAAGGGAATGAGAAGAGTCCCTATTGTGAAATGATGCCTGGCCAAACAGATGCAACCCAAACTTTGCAATTTATTTGGAGAGGTAGATCTATGTGGCAGCTGGGTATAATCTGCTAGCCATCACCTTCCCCCTGAATACTCCACAATTAGCAAACACCAGACTGTGTTATGAACTAAAGAAACTAAGTTTCTAGTTTTAGAGAATTTTGCTGGAGATGCATTCTGACATTACTAGGAGACAGAGTCTCACAGCAAACTCCCTGATTGTCTGCCTCTTACAATCTTCTCACCTTCTCTTCCACAATGTTCCCTAAACTTTAGGAGGAGTGTTTCGTAGCTGTATCCTTGCATTAGTTTCACAACTCTGCGTTTGGATTGGTTGTAGGTTTATGTAATGACTTCCTTCTTTTGCAAAGAGAAGCTTCTTTGATTAGAAGTGAGGAATACAATTATCTGTGGCTATAAGAACAAATATGTATAATGTAGTTAGATATTATGCTTGTTTAGTAAAGCAGTAATTCAAATTTCTCCTCCAAGATCCCTGAATTCACTATCTCTGATTTGCTGGTTAGGTTTCCACTACCAGTCACGGTTTCTCTTTTGTTGAATCAGTCTTAACTTTTATGAGAGATCTATTGGTTAACTCCAAAGTATGCAGATGACTGCTGCACTCTTAGGACTATCATGCCATGTTGGTCATTGCTATGACTGATAGATGTCTTAGGATTACTAGTCCTGCAATGGAATACCATGACCAAAATAAACTTTGGAAGAAAAGAGTTTAATAGGCTTACAAGTCCTGAGTCAGTCCATTGAGGAAAACCAAGGCAGGATCTCAAACCAGGTGGGAACCTATGATCAGGAGCTGATTCAGAAGCCATGGAGGGGTGCTGTTCATTGACTTGCTTACTCCTCATGGCTTCCTTAGCCTGCTTTATTATACAACCAAGGACCATAATCTCAGGTGTGGCACCACCCACAATGGCCTGGGTTCTCCCCCATCAAATGCTAATTAGGAAAACACTTGATAGGCCTGACTACTGCTTACTCTTAAGAAGACATTTTCTCACTTGTGATTCCCTCCTCTCAGATGGCCTAACTGTGTCAAGTTGATATAAAATTAGCTAGTACAATAGGTATGCTAGATTATGTTAGATTTGTAGGACTGTTGGTTGTTCCTTCCTTTGGAAGCTGGCCTGGTACCTTCTAGGGTGATGGTACTCAACCTTTTTAATACTGCTGCAACCCTTTCATACAGTTCTTAGATTGTGGTGATCTCCAAACACAAAATTATTTTCATTGATACTTCAAAACTTCAATTTTGTTATTGTTATGAATTGTAAATACCCGATAAAGGGTCATTTGACACCCCTCCACCCAACCCCTGCCAAAGGTATCATAACCAACAAGTTAGTACCATGAAAGTCCACCTCAGGGGTCTCTGAGCCCTGTCTGAAGTACATGGTGTCTTTAGAAGTACAAACTTACCTTCTATCTCTGGAGGATAATCAAGGGCAATTGTAATAGTCTCTATGTTTTGGAAGTCCCTTGGACAACCATGACCAACTCCTCAAAGGAGAGCTTCTCAATGCCTGCTGTTAGAAATTTTGTTAGGTGGTCTTTGGCTTTTGGAGAGATCATTGTCAGTCCAGATGAAAAAAATAATTCAAACTATATATATTTATACACAGATTTATGTGTATGATAGTGATTTGTTTACTTATGATTCCTTATAAATTTTTCAGATACCTTTGCTGTTATTTTAGCATCCTTTCTTCCTCTGTATTTCTTTATCTTTCCCCCCTATAATTAGGGACACTTCCTTTTGTTTCTATTTCCCATATCTGATCATTTGTACCCTGTTATTCCCCTGTCCACTCTTCCCCAGCCCTCTACCCCTTTTTACTTTCCTTGTTTCTGAAAATACTCCAGGGTATGTATTCACATCTAAATATTTGGAGCTTTTGGGAGACAAGACTCTCATAAGAAGGAAGTTATACTAATAATGTCTTACCAGTCATGACTATCTTAACATGAGTGGAACAAGGACAACAATAGACATGCCAAAGTGGACCTGGTAAAGACCATAAGGCCTTACTCCCACATCAAGAACTACAGGCAAGTAAGCAATGCTGAGAACAAGACAAATATTCTTCCCCAGGAAAGAACACAAAAATTGGTGATCCAAAGGCAAACAATCAGCCCTGAAAATGTGATTACAAGTAAGATTATACAAACTGAGAAGGCTCTGATTAGGAATATGCACACATATGCATGTAAAACAACTAATTTAAAAGAGGCTATAATTTTTTAAAGACAG